TAAACACCCAAGTACTTATAGGTCTGTGACTGAATAATATTATGATCATGTATAACCACTTGGCGATGGTCACCTATACATTTTGGATCAAATACAATCTCTTTCGTTTTCTTTGTATTTATTATTAGCTCATTTTTATCACACCAGTCAACAAACTGACTTATCTCTGACTGGTAAATAGTGCTAATATTGTCATGCACATGGAGTAGACTTAGTATGGCTGTGTCATCTGAAGATTTAAAAATAAAATTGTGAATGCCTACTTAAGCATTCATTTGTAAAAAGTGTAAAAAGAATAGGTGAACTGACGCAGCCTTGTGGAACACCTGTACAACTACTCTTTTGATATGAAAAGATTATTTACCTTTACACATTGAGTTCTATCTATTAAAAAAAAGAAGAAGAAAAAAAAAAGAAAAAAGAATAGTACCACTTAATACATGGGTTTACACTCAGCTGCTTCATTTTATCAATTAACAAATGCGGTTGAATCGTGTTAAAAGCAGAGCTAAAATCAACAAACAGTAAGCGAGCATAAGCTTTAGGATCTTCTAAATGCTTCAAAATCAAGTGCATAATGCTGTTAATAGCATCTTCAGTTCCTCTCCCTTGTCTAAAGGCGAACTGTAAGGGATCTAGATTACTAGCAACCTCTGCTTTCAACATAGATACAACACACTTTTCAAAACATTTCATAATCACAGATGTTAATGCAACCGGTCTAAAATCATTATTCTCTAAAGGCCTAGCTATCTTAGGAACAGGTATAATCAATGTTCTTTTCCACAAACTGGGAACAATACCTGAATCCAAAGATTGTTGAAATATAGGAAGCCAAGCTGGAGTCAATTCATCTGCACAACACTTAACAATATAGGGAGAAATTCCATCCGGGCCTGCCGATTTCTTTGAACAGATAGGTTTAAAATTAAACACTTAAAAGATTCAGATCATTTGTCCCACTTAAAAGATTCAGATCATCAAACAAATTTTAATATTACACAAAGATAATGCAAGTAAATACAAAATGCAGTTTTTAAATGATGATTTCTTTTATTAAGGGGAAAAAAAAAACCAAACCTGCCTGGCCCTACGTGAAAAAGTAATTGCCCCCTAAATCTAATAACTGGTTGTGCCACGCTTTGCAGCAACAACTGCAATCAAGTGTTTGCGATAACTGGCAATGAGTCTTTCACATCGCTGTGGAGGAATTTTGGCCCACTCTTCTTTGCAGAATTGTTTTAATTCAGCCACATTGGAGGGTTTTCGAGCATGAATGGACTCATTGAGGCAAGTGAGGCCTGCAGTTCTTTAGATGTTATTCTGGGTTCTTTTACGACCTCCTGGATGAGCCGTCAATGTACTCTTGGAGTAATTTTGGTTGGCCGGCAACTCCTGGGAAGGTTTACCATTGTTCCAAGTTTTCTCAATTGGAGGATAATGGCTCTGACCGTGGTTCGCTGGAGTCCCAAAGCCTTAGAAATGGCTTTATAATCCTTTCCAGACTGATACATATCAACTGTTTTGATTCTCATCTGTTCTTGAATTTCTTTAGATCGCGGCATGATGTGTTGCTCTTTAAGCATGCTTCACTTTGTCAGACAGGTTCTATTTAAGTGATTTCTTGATTCAACAGGTCTGGCAGTAATCAGGCCTGGGTGTGGCTAGTGAAATTTAACTCAGCTTTCTAAAATAATGTGGTTAATTGCAGTACTTTCATGATTTAACAGGAGGGGGCAATTAATTTTTCACGTAGGGCCAGGTAGGTTTGGACAGCTTTTTTCCATTAATAAATGAAATCATCATTTAAAAACTGCATTTTGTATTTACTTGCATTATCTTTGTGTAATATTAAAATTTGTTTAATGATCTGAATCTTTTAAGTGTGACAAATATGCAAACAAATTTAAAAACACGAAGGGGGCAAAAACCTTTTCACAGCACTGTATGATAGAAAATCTCATTAAATACAACTCTTCTGTAGTCTTGTTCTGACAAATTAATGAATTGTTTAAAAAAATGACACACAAACACCTGCAAAAACTCATCTGTTCTGTACAATGACAATTAAAATGACAAATATTGTCAAAATGGCATTGAATTTGCTGCACTAAAGTATTATTAGTTCACCCAAAATGGAAAAATTCTGTCATCATTTACCCACCCTCATGTCATTCTAAATCTGTATATAGTTTCCCCCCTCTTCTACGGAACATAAAGAAAATAAATTTTGAAGAATTGTTTTGGTGATCATTGACTTTTACTACATGCATAATAATTTTAATTGCGCAAACTATTTTCTTTAATGTTCTACAAAAGACATGAATTCTTACAGTTTTGCAACAATTCCATGGTGAGGAAATTATGACAGAATTTTCATTTTTGGGAACTATTCCTTTAAACGAGACGGGATACCATATTTAGAGTCATACGTCACCTTCAGCTTTCATTTTATTAAAAAGGTTTGGTTTTATGCAATCGCTGGACAAGAAAATTCTTTGTATATTAGCCATTTATTTACAAGTAATACTGAGTACATAAAACAGAAATATTTTGAATTTTAACAACAATCAAGGAAAATTTGTTCACATTAAATGTCTAGGAAACAAAAAACAGCCATAAAAAAACTATCATTTAAAAAAAAAATATATATATATTACAGTAACTCGGTTAACAATCATGTAGGATCTTATTGTTTTGCGCGTCTCCCCTCTTCTGATGCTCTTATGTTGATGGTTCATGGCAGCAGGTTTATAATAATTAAATCATTTGAATTTCCTTTGAAAGTTTAAAGGCCATTGAACAGCTTTGCTGAACTGGTACACCGTACTCTAGTTTGTCCTGGTTAAAGTGATAGGTAGTTAAAATGACCCACCTGTGTCAGAAGCATATTTTAAGGTGAGTTATACTTCTTTGGGTTTGTGTGCTTGAGTAACTGGTGTAACAGGTAACCATGTCTCCTTCACTCCAGTCAGGTTTACACAGATGCAGCTCGCAGAAAAATTATTTGACTATCAAAATATTTTTCTTTAGTGATGCTGATTACATAAACTACAGAGCAGTAGGCCATATTCGCAGTTTATGATACATCATACCACATATGTTTTCAATATATTCATTAAAGCACATAGTGAAAAATTGAAAACTAAAGACAATACTTTTAAAAAATATTACAGTAAGAGAAAGACAGAAGTTCTTCTGATGCGCTCATGTCGCTAGTCTATGGCAGCAGGTCACA